CCCAGCACTCAGGAAGCAGAGGCAGGTGGATCTCTGTGAGTTCAAGGCCAGCCTAGTCTACAGAACAAGTTCCAGGACAGCCAAAGCTACACAGAAAAGCCCTGTCTTGAACCCGCCCCCCCTGCAAACAAACAAACAAAAAAAACAATTAAAAAGAACAAGAGTTGCTACAAGGAGAAGCAGGGCTGTGGAGGTGGCTAGGAAGATAGAGTATTTGCTGTACAAACATAGAGACTGCCTTTGAGTTCCCAGAACACATATGAAAAGCTCAATGCAGTCATGAGCATGTGCAGTCCGAGCATTCCTACGAGGAGACGGGAGAACCCCAAAGTTCACAGGCCAGTGAGCCTGGCCTAGTATGTAGGTTCTATCTCAAGTAAGGTGGAAGGCCTGGGCCAACACCTGAGTTTCTCCTCTGACTATGCACACATGCACCGTGGCACAAATGTGCCCTTATTCACGCGTGTGAATGTACACACATACACATATGCTAAATAAATAAGTCAGACAGAACGGCAGCCTGATGGGTCACAAAGGTGGCTTGGGCCACCAGGATGTTTCATTGGAAGCGACACTTAGTGATCTTGTCTGGGAGATTTCCAGAAACTAAAGAGGAGCCAGGCCATGCTCCGGGTCATACAAACTCAGGCCTTGGCTGTGGGTCATTGCTGTGTAAACGAAATAGCCTTTCTCTGTTGGCACCCTCCACAGTGAGTGTTCTCTGTTCTTGAATTCTTGATTCTCAGCAGGACAGCAGCTTCAGCCAGGCTACTAGTGAAGTGCCAACTCTTCCGGGTGGCTCCTTGGCCTTTGTGGCTGAGATCACTGGGTGTGCCCAAGGTCGTTCACTGACTAGGCCTATGTGAAAGAACTTCCCCTAGGACTGCCCTGACCCAGCAGGTTCCCTTTAAGCTTGGGAACCTCTCTAGGGGACAGGGATGGCTGATACAAAGTGCTCTCTTGGGTTGGGAGTCGTCCTCTTTAGTGAGCTGTGATTGGCATGTGGTCCCTTGGTGGTCACGTAGAGCTATTCCCAGAAGGCTGGCTATGGTGGGCTTTTGTCGCTGAACAACCAAGGTCCCTGCAGCTGACTGAGAGCCAAATGCTTTATTAGTCAAGGCTCTTGAGAACTGTGGTTCTCAGCCTTCCTACACTGTGACCCTTTAATACGGTTCCTCAGGTTGTGGCGACCCCCCCCCCACCATAAAATCATTTTGTCATTACTTCAGAACTGTAATCTTGCTACTGCTGGGAATCATAAGGTAAACACTGATATGCAGGCTATCTGATAGGCGACCCCTGTGAAAGGGTCATTCACCAATCCCAGGGGTCGTGACCCACAGGTTGAGAACCACTGCTCTAGAGGCCTGGCTCTGATAAAGTGGATACATCTCACCAAGATGGCTTTAGATTACACCATAGGACAGTGTAGTCCAACAGTGGCTGGCTATACACTGAGATCCCTTTCTGCTCAGAACACTGACCTGGATGTGTTAACAGTCTCAGTCTGGTCCTGAAGGTATGGAGGTTCCTAGAGAGCTGCTGGCCTCCAGTATATCCGGGGACCAAAAGCCTGGGCTCTGATGAGTGAGGGATGGAGACAGCATCGGAACCAGGGTACACACACTCGCCAGCGAGGAGGGCAGGCAGGCAGGCATAGGCTGCCCTTGTGTCCGTGATGCCCACTCCCGGGGAGGGTCTCAGCCTGGTGAGTCAGTCTGCCAGAAAACACACTTATAGACTCACCCACCCAAAGGTGTGTGTTGCCCACAGATCCAGTCAAGCTGACAACCAAGATTAGCTATCACAGACACTAATGGTGCAGTGTCTCGGCAGGCTGAGAGAGGGGGACCACCCCTCACATATCCACACCCCTAAAAGGAGGTGGGGTGCTTGTTCGCTGCATCCTATAGTAACTTTTTTAAAAATTAAAACAATCTTTTAAGACTCATTTTTTAATTTTTATGTGTATATAGATATAAGTATGTATTATGAGTGTATGTATGTATGTGAACCTGAGTGCAGGTGCCTGTGGAATCCAAAAGAGGGCGTCAGACCCCCCCTTGGAGCTGGAGTTGCAGGCATTTGTGAGCTGTCTGTCATGGCTGCTAGGAACAGAGCTCAGCCCTCTGCAAGGGCAGTATATACACTCCTAACCACTGAGCACTCTCCAGCCTGAATCTGTAAACTTTTTTGGTTAACATCTAAAGTATTTGGTTTTCTCAAAGTGGGTTTCTCAAGGTCACCATCACACACATGTGCCATTGTCCATTGTTCTCATGTGTTCCCCTTTGCCCTCTCTCTGCCTTCCGCCCCCTCCAGCTGGTTCCCTTCCTTCTCTTACTTAGCGCTTTCTGTTTTCATGTCCTGTGTATCCTGACATGTACCCCACTTCTTCCCTTTCATATCCTGTGTATCCTGACATGTACCCCACTTCTTCCCTTTCATGTCCTATGTATCCTGACATGTACCCCACTTCTTCCCTTTCATATCCTGTGTATTCTGACATGTACCCCACTTCTTCCCTTTCATGTCCTATGTATCCTGACATGTACCCCACTTCTTCCCTTTCATGTCCTGTGCATCCTGACATGTACCCCACTTCTTCCCTTCCTTGGATCCGTTTCCCTCTTGGGCTCCCCTTTCTAGTCATACTCATACATACATACACCCCATCACCACCAGCACCATGTGCGCGCGCGCACATGCACACACCTTTCTGAACATGACTTTTCCTCTAGCAACAATTTCTAGTTCTTTCCATTTTTGTGCAAGTATCATGATTGTGTGAGCTCATAGCTGTATGCCCTGTTCCCTTGGTTAACGGCAGTGAATGCAGGAAGTGGGGGTCTGGGCTGAGGATTTGCATTTTGGGTGTTCCACTTAGCCACGAATGACACGGGCATGTCCCAGAGACACTCCCTCCTCAGTAATACCCTGGGAGCCTGGCTCTCGGCCAAGGTTATGGGGAAGGCAGAATGAGGAAATCGTGACTGGCTGTACACCTGCCTGGTAAGGTCTGCTGCAGCCACCATGCTGTGGGTTCCGATGACCTTTCATGGGGTTCCCCTTTTCTGCCATCAGCCTGGTCTTGACCCCCTGAGTGTCAGTCAAATCAGGACTCTTGGAACTCACTGGGGCTGGGGTCTTTGAAACACCTTGAGAAAGCATGGACATGTGGAACACAAGAGATGATGAGGTCAATGAAGCTAGCCCGTATTCAACACAGTAGACATGCTTCCATGCCCACCCATGAACCCATGAGCTTTACATGGCTCAGAGTGTGAACGCTAGTGTAAGCTGTGGACCTGAGTGACAGCAATGACAGTGATGGGACAGTATCTCATTCTGGTGTAGGGTGTGGGCCAGATGTGCCCAGGGGACTGGAGAGACAGCTCATTGCTTAAGAGCCCTTCTATCCTTTGACTGACCCAAGTGCAGTTCCAGCCCTGTTGGGAGGCTGTAACTCCTGCTCTGGGGAAAATCTGATGCCCCCTAGTGGCCTCCACAGGCACCTGCACTAATGAGTATATTCCCACACTAATGTGCACATATCTGGTGGGGAAGTGTGTGGCTTTTGTAGTCCAGATCTTGAATTTTAGGGCTGAGTCTGAGGTCAGGGCTATTCCTTTGTAAAGCATGGAGTACTAGGCACCTGCAGTTGCTGGCTGGGCATTGACGCAAGAGAATGAAGCCGACATATTCCTGACTGTGTGGTGTCCAGTCAGCTGGGCTGGGTGGGAGGAGGGCAGACGCACAGTCGCCCCCCCCCCCCAGTTCCCACCTCCATCTGCAAAGCAAGGGAACCCTCAATCCTTCAGACACCGAGGTAGACCGGAACTTGGTACAGGAAGCACATAGGAACGGGATCATTGCTGCGGATAGACGGACCATGGACCTGGAGGGGAAACTGAGATTGGGCTGTAGCCAGGAAGAGAAGCTGTGCTCAGGTGACAGGATTTTCCAGGTCCCATCCTGGCTGTCCCTTGGCTATTGAGTCAGTTAGCAGCTTCTCTAAGGCCCCGTTTCCCCCACTCAAGGAAATGGATGTGACGCTGGGTCTCCCTCCTTGGTTTGTCCTGAGGACCTCAGGGGACAAGAAAAGATTTCAGTGAGGTACTATTCAGGAACATTCCCATAATACTGTTCACTTGGGAGGGGACACCAATCCCCAGACGGGGAAGAACAAGGTGGCCTACAGAGCTGGCCCTCTACAGGGGCTTTGGTTGTTGGGCGTCCTGGAAGGCAGAGTGACTCTTGATGCTAATGGGGTGTTTCCTTACCCCGGATGGTGAGGGCTTGTATGCTGTCTGAGTTGGGATGTATTGGTTTTGTTTTTTGTTTTAATGCACATTGGTGATTTGCCTGCATGTAGGTCTGTGTAAGAGTGTCAGGTATTGGAATCACAGACAGTTGTAAGCTGCCATTGTGGGTGCTGGGAATTGAACCCCGAGTTCTCCGTTAAGAGCAGTCAGTGCTCTTGACTGCCAAGCCATCTCTCCAGTCTCAGGATGTATTTTTATTCAATGTGCACATTAGAATATTTTCTGTGTACCCTGCACTGAGACAGAGAGGCCTGACTGGGGCAACTGGGACTTTGAGGAGGAAGCCTGGGTAAGCCCAGGTGGGGGCCAGACATGGATGCTCCTTTGTGCCTCCCAAACCCAGCCTGGATGTTCAACCAAGCCTCCTAATGACCAGAAGGAACAGAAAGCAGGGTACCACACACAACCGCATCTCTGATGGTCCAGAGTCACCCAGTTGAGTTATAATTAATATTTTGAGCCAGGTCTGTGTACTGGGGAGCCATGGTCATAGCGGTGCTCACACTGGTTTTGGATAATGTAACCCCAGCTGGGCGGCAGAAAGGCAGCATCTCAGAGGCTTCTGTTAATGGGAGAATGCACACATCCTCAGCCGTGCTTGGGTGCAAGTGGAGGGAACAGTGTGGGTTCATCCAGATGTCAGTGTCCCACGTGACCTATGGTCTTCTCTTCCAGGGGCATGGTCTAGCAGCCCGGTGAAGCCTGTGCATCAGCCCCCAGCAGTTCTGACCTGTGCTCACTCTTGGCCTCCACTTGGCCCTAGGTAAGTGACCCTGAGGCCAGTGGGCCTGCAAATGGTTAGGGTTGTGGGTAGAAGGGGTGACTCTTGTAGAAACTGTGGGGACAATCTACCCAGTGCTCTCAGGGGACAAGTCGGGAAACTGAGGCTGGGAGGCAAGAAGAACCCTTTTGGGTTCTGGGTTTAGCTCTCTTCTTAGTCTCTGAGAGCATCATGTGTGCCTGTGTTTGTGCCTGTGAGCTTGTCCAGGGAGCAGAGTTGAGAGCTCCGTATAAAAGTAAGGATGGAGAACAGAGGCTTCTCTCTCCTGAGGTTCTTCTTATCTTCCCTTCCCTTTGCACCCTATATGCCAAGTCCTCCATCTCCCTTGCCTTCCCCCAGGCCATTCCTCGGAAAGGGAACAGCACCCAGAAGGGACGGGTTAGGGCACCTTGAAATTATCCTCAGAATGAACCAGGCCTTAACTGTGTGGCCAGCGCCACCACCTTTGTTTGAGAGGTCGTGTGTATCGAGGGACGATGTCAAGTGGTACTTCCATGTGGCTCTGGTAGATACAGCTCCCCAGGAACTTGGGCTGCCAGCTCCCAGCAGACCTGGGTGTGGCTGGGTTCCCCCTTCCCCCAGACACCCAAGCTCCCCTAGCATCAGGCACAGGGTGTCCTTGGGACTTCCTGTGGGTGGAGTAACTTTTCCTGCCTTCATCTCCTGCCGCCTATCACTTGCTCCCCCACATCCCCTGTACACTCTGTCCAAAGGAAATACCCAGAAAGGAGCCTCTGCCTTGGGAAGGCGGGTCTGTGGGTCTCTTGATAGACATAATGGCATGTGGAGGGCAGAGAAGCAGTTGATGAATCTGCATGACTGAGCACCATCTACGTACATGCTCCCAGCCCCAGGGTCTTTGACTCCAGTTGCCCCAAGCACACAGGGACATGGCCTGGGAATGGATGCCTGGATGCTGAGACAGACACCAAAGTCAGACGAACGGGAGTTAGAGCCCGTGGGATCTTTTCTCATCCCAAGGCCCCTTGGTATTTGATGCATACACCCCTGCACTCAGCGAGGAGGGTCTGGGTCAGGTGATTAGTTCTAAGGTGATGTCAGAACTTTGCCATGGTGTCAGGGGATACCCAGTGGGAAGACCCCCCCCTCCCACCACCCCGAGGATGGACAGACACCTCCTCCATTCCCACTCTGTGGAGGAAATCCTGTACAACAGGCCTGGGGCACAGCCTCCCCATTGGCTGCCCACCCTGGCAGGCAGCGCACACACACAGGCTCACCGTTTATTGAGAATATGTTCTGTCGCCAGTGAACTTGCGGGCTGTGACCTCCAATGGCAAAGGAAAGCAGAGTTAAAATTGGGACCTTAAACTCATTTTAATATGGAGAGAGGAAAAAAATTAGGTTGGAAAGAGAGGGTGAGAGGCTGCGTGTTGAGGCTTCCCTTTTGGATAAAATCTTCCACTTGGGCCTCAAGAGATGTGACTGTGAAGGTTTGGGAGCAAAGGCCCAGCAGCAGCTGTCAAAATGGATATAGAAGCCGTGGAAGGACCTGTGTGGCTGGAGAGGATGAGGAGATGGGTCACATGGATAGGAGTGGGGCAAGGTACGAGTCACAGACTCAATGAGGAGAGGGGATACAGCCCATAGCTTGAAGCTCACCGTAGACTGAACGACAGCCCTAGGTGTAGATCGTGACCTCTTACAGGTTTCAAAGATCAACGCTGCTCACAGAGGCCTGTGTGGCTGGCAGCAGCATCTAGAACACCAATTCTCAGCCTGTGGGGTCGCGACCACCTTGGAGTCGGATGTTTGGCATCCTGCATATCAGATATTGACATTGCGATCCATAACAGTAGCAAACTTACAGTTATGAAGTAGCAATGAAAATAATTTTATGTCTGGGGAGTCACTATAACATGAGGAACTGTATTAAAGGTGTGCAGCACTAGGAAGGTGGAGAACCACTAGTGTAGGAGATGGTAGGAGAATGGCTGGAGACTGGCTGGACTATAGGAGCAGGTCACTAGGCTGGTCTCTTCCGTGATGATCCCTACCTCAGGTGACATTGCAGATCACCGTGACCTTCCTGGGGTGAACCCCACCCATGGGGACCCTCACAGTCACAGGGTAGGGTATAGAGAAGGGAAATCTTTCCTGTGTTGAGAGTCGCGGCTTATTTTTAGGACAACAATGACTTGGCAGTATCAATTCCTCTGGGTGTCGTCTCCAGCTTTGCTGGGGAAGATCGTGCCTGGAGAGTAGTGTGAGCAGTCGTGAGAACACACACACCGACAGTGCACTTTGGACCCTATGGTGGACTTCTCGAAGGGGTGTAAACCACTGTCCGAGTGGCGGGGGTGCTGTCCCCTGTCCTTTTTGTGTATCTACTTTAGAACAGGTTTGATGTGAGCTGGTGTCCTAGGCCTCCAGTAAGCAAGGCCAGCCTGGCTCTTGGCCAGTTGGAGAACAATTCAACCTCCAGTCACCTGGGCTCAGTGACCCTATTAAGACAGAACAAGGTGCACTTTGGGAGACCTGTATACCAAATGGCTGGATTTTCCCAGCCAGAGCTGATTCAGTCAGACACCTCCCACCTACATCCTGGCCTCTCCAGGTGGGGTCCACATCCATCCTTCCCCTGGCTCACCCTGGGCACGTGTCCCTGAGTTCCTGGGGTGACCCAGGTTTCACATCCCTCTCTAGTTGATCTTTTGAATGGTCTTGGACCTCTACAACACAGTATGTCAATTTTCAGACTGGAAATACTGAGAACACAGGAGACACTTAAATGTTTGCTTGGTGGCAATTGCCGGGATCTCCAGGGTGCCCACCCTCTGGCTAGAGTTAAGACTATGGCTCAGAAAGGACGGGCTGGGGTAGAGCTCAGTTGGCAGAGTGTTTGTGTAGCATGTGTGAAGCTACATGGGTTCCATCCCTTCTGATCTGGCACAGATCTGTAATCCTAGCACTCCGGAGGTGGAGGCAGGAGGATCAGAAATTCAAGATCATCCTCAACTCCATAGCACGTTGGAGGCCTATCTGGGAAAAATGAGATCCTGTTTCAAAGAAGAGGCAGGGGCCGGGGTGGGGGTGGGCAGGCTGGACATTCCATACATGGGTAACAGGCACAGAAGTTTGAGTGGGTGAGGACAGTGCTTGTGAGGCACACAGAGTCCCCATCAGTGGCTGGATCTTCTGGGACCTAAAGGAGTACCCAGGCAGCCTGTTCCCTCCCTCCGTCCCTCCCTGACTTCCTTCCTCCATAGTGAAACAATTACTGTGGCCTTCCTGTGTTTGGTTGTATGTTAATTGGTCATAAGATCTGTCCCATCTGTGCCCTGGGGAACTGGAACCCAGCCTTGTGCCTTGGGGGTGGAGGCGGGGCAGTTGGTTCATCTTGAAACTCAACCTCTGTGTCGCCACCCTGTGCCCACCACCTGCCTGGATATGACCTGGCAGGACAGGCACAAGCTCCACACAGAAGGAGAGGGCCCAGGTCTCTCCAGTGCATCTCCCGGGTCTGCCCTAGGGTTTCATATACTAGGTATTCAGTTAAAGCCTGTTACTGGGGCCGGGCGATGGTGGCGCACACCTTTAATCCCAGCACTCGGGAGGCAGAGGCAGGCGGATCTCTGTGAGTTCGAGACCAGCCTGGTCTACAAGAGCTAGTTCCAGGACAGGAACCAAAAGCTACAGAAAAACCCTGTCTGCTTTTCGGGCTGGGGGGGGGGGGCTTAATTGGGGGAGGGGGAGGGAAATGGGAGGCGGTGGCGGGGAAGAGACAGAAATCTTTAATAATTAAATAAATTTAAAAAAGAGAAAAAAAAAGAAATAAAAATAGTTTTTCTTTTTTTTAAATATTTATTTATTTGTTTGTTATGTATACAATATTCTGTCTGTGTGTATGTCTGTAGGCCAGAAGAGGGCACCAGACCTCATTACAGATGGTTGTGAGCCACCATGTGGTTGCCGGGAATTGAACTCAGGACCTTTGGAAGAGCAGGCAATGCTCTTAACCTCTGGACCATCTCTCCAGCCTCTAAAAATAGTTTTTCATTAAAAAAAAAAAAAAAAAAAAAAGCCTGTGGCTGGACCTTCACAGTCAGGTCCTTGCAGAACCTGTGGCTTCTGGCCCTGTGATAGCTGAAGGAAAATAAAATGGGGAGAACATGACAGCTCCTGGATGTGGTGGGGGAGGTTTATCATAAGTATGAGGAAGAAGATAGCCAGAGGAGGGACATCTGGGAGAGTCCAGAGAGAAGTGGGTGGGAAGAAGAGGGGAGAGCCAGACCAGGAGGCCAGGAGGTAAAGGGTAGACCACAAAAGGACCGGGAACCAAAAGGGCGGATTAAATGAGGAAGGCCAGCCAGCCTCTGGGCTGGAGAAGTTGAGGGTAGGGGGCGGGGCCCTGTGACAGGAAGCGACTGCAGGCTGCTGGCTGGAAGTACCTGACGGCCAGGTCCACTTCCATATGTTAAATAGGTACCTCAGCAGTTACTTTCCCAGGGTTTCCAACAGTATCAAGACTCAAAGTAGCCAAAGGTGGCTTTTCTGAGCTGCCCACACGGTTTCTCATGTCTTCCTAACTGGGGGTCACGATTACGGCTGCTGGGGTCCCTGAGGGCTGCAGGCACAGCTCATTCCTCCACCTAGTGTTATCTGCAAGAAGTGGGGCGGGGGTGGGAAGTGGTGATGTATTAATGAGCATGGCTTATTTCCTCCCTGAGACATTAGGCGTGAGTCAAACAGCTCCTGAGGTGGTTCCCCGGAGGAGGTTTTCTTCTGAGTTTAAGAAAATCAAACAAGGGCTGGAGAGATGGCTCAGTGGTTAAGAGCATTGCCTGCTCTTCCAAAGGTCCTGAGTTCAATTCCTGGCAACCACATGGTGGCTCACAACCATCTGTAAAGAGGTCTGGTGCCCTATTCTGGCCTGCAGGCATACACACAGACAGAATATTGTATACATAATAAATAAATAAAATAAACATTTAAAAAAAAATCAAACAAGCCGGACAAGC